AAAAAAAAAAAAAAAAAAAAGAAAGGAAGCAAGAACTTAGAAGCAGATTGAGATAGTCTTTTATAGTTTTCTCTCACACTTGACAGCATTTTTTAAATCATGAAGAAAATCTCATTTTATGTAACATTTTTTTGGTTTTGTTTTGTCTTTTGAGTCAGGGTCTCACTATGTACTAAGTTCAGGCTGGCTTTGAACTCACTGTGTAAAGCTGGGTGTGGTGTTGCACTCCTGTAAGGTCTGTAATCCCAGTACTTTGAGACTGAAGCAGGAGGAATGCTATGAGTTCAAGGCCAGCCTGCACTACATAGCAAGATCCTCTTTCAAAAAAAAAAGTGAACTCACTATGTAGCCCAGGTTGACGTGGAACTTGCGGCAATCTCCCTGCCTCAGCCTCTTGAGTACTGGGATTATAGGATTTCTTTGGTTCTAAAATGTGCCCTTTGAAGTAGTAATACTGAACTGATACTCCTCTCGTGAGTGCTATGTTTGTTTTCCATAGCTGCTTTCCCCTGTCTCATTGTTTAGAAGAGCTGCAGTATTTTGAGGATTACAGTTTCCCAAAGCATGTGCTTACCAAGCAGGCATTTATGCCACTGAGCTATATCCCCAGACCCCAGACTGCTTTTCAACTTGGATCCCTATTCCTCAGCCGCCCAGAGAGCTGGGATTATAGCTGTGCACCACCACACCTGTCTTCATTAGGCTTCAACTTAGTTTTTGCAGAAATGCTTTTAGCTCCTGTTTTACGAGTTTATGTAATATCATTACTTTTTGGTTTGCAAATTGAACCCAGAGCCTTGTGCATACTAAACAAGTGCTATACACTGAGGTATATCCCCAACCCTCACATACATAACTGAAATGAGTACAACCCAAATGAATAGATTTTTGGATCAGATACAGCTGCCTCTTGAAAAGCCAGTGACTCACTGGCAGGACAGGAATGTACAGGAGCTTGGTGTGTGCCTGGGTGTTCCCTTGGCACAGAAGCTGTGGTGAGGCTGGCTGCCCTGGTATGCAGAGGGCCAGTCTATCTGCTGGTGCCTTTTGTAGTAACAGACCCTTTAAGAACCTACAGAAGCCATGGATTCTTTTCCCATGTAGGGTCATAGGTGCTTTAAGTCAGTTTTGGATTCTGGATCAGAGAAGAGTTGTAGTAGTAACCAAGCTTACATGACACCCTGACCCTTGCAGTTGCCTTGAGCTTCTCTGTCTCCTCCCTGCAAGTTGGGCACCACTTGACAGTTTGTTCTGAACAACAGAGAAAGGGTTAGCAATGGGTGTGAACCTGGGGGAGCAGAGGCAGGGGGCTGGGCATGTCTGTTCTGTGGCTTGGTGAGCACGTGAGTGAGTGCTCCTGGTGGGCTTCGTTAGCAGCCACCCAGGGTGTGCACCTCTGCTGACACCCAGGCCTTGAAGTGGATGCTTCTCACAGAGGTTTTTCACAGTTTCTTTCAGGTGACTGTATTTACTGGGGGTGCCTATGATAGAGGAGTGGGTGGAGCTGTAGTTACCAAGACAAGAATCTCACTGGAGTACTAGTTCCTTCCCACAAGCAAGAGCCTCTGTCAGCCTGTGTGTTGCATCATGAGCTCCCTGCTGTCCTGTGGCTGTCAAAAGAGTTACTTGGGGCCCAGCTGACTTTCCACTCCTGGGTATGAAGTCTGGTGACTTCTCAAAAGTACCACTTCCTTCCCTCTGGAAGGTGGTTGTGAAGAATCAGCTATAGCTGGGCACAGTGATGCACACCTGTTCCAGGTATCTGGGAGGCTGAGGCAGGAAGATCACAAGTTTGAGGCCAGCCTAGGCAACTTAGACTTTGTCTCAAAATAAATTTTTTTTTTAAAAGGGTGGAGGGTGCTGATGCGGCTCAGTGATAGAACCCCTGCCTGGAAAGCACAAATCCTGGGTCCCATCCCCAGTTTCTCCACATGTGCAAAGAATTGGTTGTGCACTCATACCAGGTGCACTTGCTGAATGTACTGCTGCCATGTCTGGCTACTCTTTTGCCTTCTAGAATGTCCTCACACTATCAGGGGTGGCTCCTGAGACTGTCACATTCTAGGGAGTGTTAAGACTCTCTTTATCATGGGTAAGATGTGTCAGTCCTACATGTTTGGGTGGAGAAGAGGACACTGTGACCATGTGTGGGGGACATGGAATTCCAACACCTGTGGATTTGAGTTTTGTGGTCCTGCTCACTTTTTTTTTGAGATAGGGTATCACTGTGTGGTTCAGGCTATATATATATAGCCTGTGAACTATATATCACAGGCTGGCCCTGAACTCATGGCAATCCTCCTGCCTCAGCCTCCTGAGTGCTGGGATTACAGGTGTGCGCCATCACACCTGGCCCTGTTCCTCACTTTTATCTCAATTTTGTTCTTAAAGTTATGATCTGCTTTAAGATGATCTGATTTGGTGGGGGCGGCCACGGTACTGGGAATTGAACTCAGGACCTTGCGCTTGCCAGGCAGGCGCCTGTGCCACTGAGCTATATCCCTGGCTTTTTTTTTTTTTTGTACTGGGCATTGAACCCAGGGCCATCTGCTTGCAAGGCAGGTGTTGTGCCAGTGAGCTATATCCCTGGCCTGGAGCAGTGATTTTAAACCTTAAGCCATTATAGACAAAGGCAGGACACAGTAGAGAAAGGAGATATAGTTGAACATGAGACACATGACCTAAACAGTAAGCACTTCAGGAACTGTTTCTGCCCTTCAGGTCAGCAAGGGTACAGAGCTTGATAGGATTCTTTGTGGCCAAAGATTTTGACATGGGGCTGTGGTGGGTACATGGGCCAGCAGTATGATGGTAATTATTAAAAGAAGCATTCAGGTCCTCTGACCCAATAGGGCTATTCCTTAAGTTTTCCCTGCAAAAGGAACCTACTCTTCTTTGTGGGGGTGTGGAGCACTTTCATTTTCTGTGTCATGTCTACAGTATATGAACTGTGGTGAGTAATGAGTGTGCAGTAATTTTATAAGCAGAAAAGATTAAAAATAAACACTCCTAGGCTTTAAGAGTGGTGTTTGGTGAGATTGTTATTGGTCAATCTGATAGGTTACCTGTGTAAACGACCAGTTCCTAGGTGGAAAATGGGACTTGGTGCTACCTGTTTCCCTTGAGAGCCAAGCATCTCCTTCTGTTACAGGGAGCCATGCTCACTGGTCCGCCTGGTACTGGCAAAACGCTTCTTGCCAAAGCAACCGCAGGGGAGGCCAGCGTGCCCTTCATCACTGTGAATGGGTCGGAGTTCCTGGAAATGTTTGTTGGTGTTGGGCCAGCAAGGGTAGGTGTGTGGGTGGCCAGCTGCAGAAGGTGCCCACCAATTGCTTAACTAAGCTTGGGTAGCTGTGGGCTTTGGGGAGGATCCTGGTGTGAGCCCAGAGTATGCCCTACCCTCCAGGTGCTAAGCACCATGGAGAAGCTTAGGGATGACCTGTGTGTGTGAGTAACAAAGACTGGATTCCTGTTCCAGGTACGTGACATGTTTGCAATGGCCAGGAAAAATGCTCCTTGCATCTTATTCATCGATGAGATCGATGCAATTGGCCGGAAGCGAGGCCGTGGGCACCTTGGGGGTCAGAGTGAACAGGAGAACACCCTGAACCAGATGCTTGTAGAGATGGATGGTAAGTGGAATGGCATGGACCTGAACGGTCAGCACCACCTGTGGTGTCTCATTGGGAAGTCACATGACCTTCCTAGCCTTTTGTTCCTACAAAGATGCCCCTTGGAAGAGAATTTGTCTGCTCTTAAGGGAGGCTGCTGTCAGGCAGACGTGGTGGAGAAAGCACTATCTATTCACACAGTGCACCTGTTTATTGCACAGCAGCAGGATGAGGCAGCCACGTTCCGCTGCCCTCCAGCAGGAGGAGATTAGCAGGGGTGACGGATACCTGCTTCTCCGGGAGGTAAACTAGAACGTGTTAGTCTTTTTTTTCTTCGTATCAGGAAATGAACTCAGGACCTTGTACTTGCCAGGCAGACTCTGTGCCACTGAGCTAAATCTCCAGCTCCAAGTGTTGGGTCTCCTGATGGAGGCACAGGATGGAGTGACAGAGCCATGTTCCTGCTCTGAGCCTTTGTCCTGCTGACCACAGAGCGATGCCCACCAGGGTCTCCTGATGGAGGCACAGGATGGAGTGACAGAGCCATGTTCCTGCTCTGAGCCTTTGTCCTGCTGACCACAGAGCGATGCCCACCAGGGTGTGCCTTCTTGGGATGTGTCTAGATGTACCAGTTTTTAAACTTGTAAAAGTTCTCACTGGATCTTTGGCAGATTTTATCTTCACTTTGCTATTAGGGTCATATTGGTGTCCCTAAGGCCCCACTTGATTTGGAAGCCTGCTGGGAGGAGCTGTAACTCAGAGCTGTTTTCATCATAGAAAAAAAACAAGAGAACCAACCAGGGGAAGATAATTGAGGCTGGGAGACTGGGGCAGTTTCCAGAGTCCCCGGTGAGGAATTGTAGGAGGATTTGGGTGGTTTTGACCTAGGAAGCCCTTGAGGGACTTAATTCCTTGGGGTTTCCACAGAGGGTTGGTCATGTACCAAGGTTCCAGATACCCAGGAGGGCAGTGTGCATAAACCACATTTGTGCACACACCATACGCCAATCCTGTCAGGGTGTGGTGGGGATACTGGATGCCAGCCATGCTAAGGACAGTCGTCAGCCCTGTTATGTTGACACTTCTATAAAGTCTTGTCATTATATCTAACTGTAAATATAAATAAATTTTCACTGAGTCTTCTGGAGGGAACCGTCAAGAGAATAATGGAGAGGAAGGTACAGGCACCCAGGCTGAGCCTCATGCCCTCATATTCTGATGGTGTCCCCATTTTCCACGTGGTCCTGTCTGCCTTCATCCCACCTGTGCCCTGGGCCCTGCAAGCCCACTGGGACCTGGGTGGATAGACACTTTGCTCTCTGCCAAGGTAGAGATGTGGCCACGTGGTGTCAGGCTGCCAGAAGCCAGGCATAAGTAAGGATATGGAGAGCCCATGCACAGGGACTTCAGCCCTGGTTCCAGGTTGTGGGGCTCACTGTTAACTGAGAGCTGTCTGGTTTCCTGCCAGCAGAGACTTGGGTGGAGTCGGGGAACAGTGAATACTGAGGAGGTGGAGCCTTTGTGAATGGTCCCTCCTAGGAAGAGTCAGCAGGAGGTTCAGCCCCAGCCTGAGCCAGCCTAACCTGAGGTAGCTAGGCAGAGCTCATGTTGGGCTCACAGTCCTTGCAGTAGGGTGTGGATGAGCAGAGGGAAGCAAAGCCAGTGTGGGCTGAGCTGGAGAGCACTGGGTTGTCGTGCCTGTGCCTTCCTTGGGTTCACCTGCTTCTCTTGTGTCCAGGATTCAACTCCACCACCAATGTGGTGGTACTGGCAGGCACCAACCGCCCTGACATCCTCGACCCAGCCTTGATGCGCCCTGGCCGCTTTGACCGCCAGATTTATATTGGTGAGTGTGTGTGAATTGCATGCTTGGGTTTGGGCATTGGCCCCTGAGGTTGAAGTTTGGCTAGTTCATTCACTGTATGTTTGGAAGAGGTTTTAAAATAATTAAGGTAACTTTTTGAAAACGTGGGCTCAATTAGCCCATACTGTTGCTGGGCCCTGTCTTCTAGCAGTCCACCTGTAAGAATAAGAGATGTGTGGTTAGACCCATCAGCATGTCACTGCAGTGTGTGCTGAGGCAGGGACATGGCAGGTTGGTGTCCTCCGGCTTCTACTTTCCCTCAGTGTCATAATGACTTGATAGTTTAGAGGATAAAAACTTATCCTTTGCCCTTCACCCTGATAGTCAGCCATTATTGTCTTCCCCAGGAAAACATAATTATCCTGTGTGGCCACCCTTTGCTGCCATGCACGGTGCTTGTTTTGTCTGCTGTCAGGTCCCTGGATCAGGTGTGAAGGTGGTATTCCAGTGTGCTGCAAAGCCACATGCATGTGTCCTTCGGCCTGTTTCCTCCATTGCACCCTGGCTCCTCTAGACGACCCTTGTGGTTTTGGGAAGTGGCTGTGAGAGCCCAGTTCTGAAGGCCCAGGGAGCTCAGAAGATGGATCTCTGTCTCTCTCTCGCTCTCTTGCTCTCTCTCAGGTCCCCCTGACATCAAAGGCAGATCATCCATCTTCAAGGTCCATCTGCGCCCGCTCAAGTTGTCCGAAAACCTCAGTAAGGATGCCCTGGCACGGAAGCTGGCAGCTCTCACTGCAGGCTTCACTGGTGAGTGTTGGGCTGTCCATTCAGCCTGGTGGGAACTGGGTGTTCAGTTGCTGGTAATTGGCAAGTGGCTGTTGTGCCTGCTCATTGGGTCCCGGGCAGTGCTTATCCTGCCCCTGTCACTTTGAACCTGTTTGGACATTTCAGTGGCTTCAGAGATCCTAGCCCCAAAGCCTATTGTATCATTTTAACAAATGTTTTAGTTCTGATTCAGTTTAGTAAGTCTTTATTGCACAGGACCAAAATCATGTCCATGGAAGATGACTGAGATGAGTTGTTATACTTTGATCTTGGACTTGTGCTCTAAACTGGGCAGTTCCTTTGCTTTTCTCTCTTCTTTTTTGTTTTGTTTTTGTTTTTTTGGTACTAGGAATCGGACTTGGGACCTCACACTTGCCAGGCAGGTGCTTGTGCCGCTGAGCTATATCCCCAGCCCTCTCTCTTCTTTTTTCATTAAAACCCAATTTCCCATGCACAGATACTTGTTTCCCTACCAGAATGGGTGAGGACCTTCCAAGGGGCTTCTTGCCCTGTTTATCCCATTTTAGCCTTGCTTGCAAGGCTACACGGAAGGCCTCAACACAGTCATTTGCTTCTGCCACTGTGGGAGCATGTACCAGAGCCTCTTTCCCAGCCACCCGCAGCCTTCTGCGCAGCACTAGTCAAGCTGTTCACACTTGAGTGCACATCTGCTGTGGTAAGTGGTGAGTGAGGTGTTCTCACCAGACCAGCAGGTGAAGGCTGTCGTTCTCATGCCTGGAATGTGGTTCGTGCCTCTTGTTTTCTCCCCTTGCAACTCAGGTATCCATCTGCATGTCAAAAGACTGGAATAAGTTACCAGACTTCAATTTCCCAGGCCCTCAGTGGGGATTTCTAGTGGGCACACACAGCAGGAGTGACTGGACTGCCTCTTGGCAGGGACAACTTGGCACTGCGCCCCCCAGGGGGAGGAGCCAGCACTGTGCCTAGGGATGCTGCTTCATCAAAATACCTTTCTCCCACAATGAGCCTTCTGGTACCGGGAGTCGAACTCATGACCTCGGGCTTGCCAGGCAAGCACTTATGCCACTGAGCTATATCCCCGGCCCTGTAGTTCTTAAAATAATGTGTCTTAAGGTTTGTAAGACACCATAGACCCAGGACTAAAGGAAACTAGGAAAACAATTCCAACAAATAGAGAGAGAATAAGTAGCAAAGAAATGGAAATTATAAGAAAGAGCCAAGTAGAAGATCTGGAGCTGAAAACTACTGGAAGTGAAATGAAAAACTTAGTAGAGGGGTTCAACAGCAGATTTGAGCAGACAAAAGAGAACCAGAAAACTTGGAGCTTCAGATGAAGTTATCCATTCTATAAAGTGGAGAAAAAAGAATGACAAATAGAAATGCAGCTGGGCGTGGTGGCACAGTCCTGTAATCCCAGCACTTGGGAGGCTGAGGTAGGAGCATCGCTGTGAGTTCAAGGCTAGCCTGGGCAACGTAGTGAGTTCGTTGTTTTTTGTGGTTTTTTTTTTTGTCTTTTTTGAGACAGGGTCTCTCTATGCAGTTCAGGCTTGCCTCGAGCTCACTTTGTAGCCCAGGCTGGTCTCAAACTTGCAGTGATCCTCCTGCCTCAGCCTCCCGAGTACTGGGATTACAGGCGTGTGCCACCACGCCCGGCTTGACATAGTGAGTTCAAGGAAAGACTTAACTACATAGTAATGAGACCCTGTCTCAAAAACACCAAAAAACAAAACAAAAGTAGAACTTAAAGGATCTCTGATACCTGCTGCTATTAAGATAACACATGCATTTTGGGGGTGCCAGAAGAGGGCAGAACCTAAGGGCAGAAAGAATATTTAAAGAAATCCTGGTTCAAAACTTCCCAAACTGGACAAAAGATGTGGACCCACACATCTGAGAAACTCAGTAAACTCAGAAGTAACAATAAACTCGGAAATGTGAGACATGTAGTAACCCAACCGTGAAAGTCCAGGGTGGAGAATCTGAAGGTGGCAGTGACAGAGGACACATGGACAAAGGTCCTCTGTGAGAGTAACAGCCAGATTCTCTGCAGACATTCGAGGCTGAAGGGATTGGTGATGTGCTTGAATGCTGAGACAGAAACTCAGCTGAACTGGGCGTGGTGGTGAATGCCTGTAATCCCAGTACACAGGAGGCTGAGGCAGGAGGATCACCACAAGTTCAAGGCCAGCCTGGGCTACATAGTAAGTTTAAGGATTACCTGAACTACATAGCAAGACCTTGTCTCCAAAAATACCAAAAGCGGAGGAGGGGTGGAGGGCAGGGGGTGGAGAAACTCAGCTGGGCATTTCATATCTGGCAAGATGGTCCATTGGGAGTGAAGGAAACATGAAAACATAGACTATTTTATATTTAGAGACAGGGTCTCACTGTGTAGATCAGGCTGGCCTTGAACTCCCAGTGGAGCCCAGGCTGCCCTTGAACTTGCAGTGATCCTGTCTCAGCCTCCTCAGAACTGAGATTACAGGCACGATCCTGGTTCAGACTTTTAGAAAACTAGTTTATTACTAGTAGAAGTGCAGAGCAGATCTACTAGTAATAAACTAGGAAGCCTTTTGGGCTGAAGTGGAAGGACACGAGACAATAACTTGAAGTGTATGAAATAATATTAGTGACTTCCTGCACTGTCTACGGTATGTGAAGGTTGGTGTCTGTCACTGTGATGTTAGCCAAGAGCCTCCCCACCCAAGACCATCAGTGTCATCCTAATAAAATAAACCTGAGTGGCACTTTAAGAAGCTCCCTTAATGTGGTGCCAGTGTTGGGAAACAGCCAGGGCCAGTTAATGTGTGAATCTCTCATGACAAGTGAGTACCTGGGCGAAGTGTACCCAGGGAAGAAGCTTTTGCCCAGCGACCTTGATGAGAAAGCTTTCCAGAAGATGATCTGAGAGTTATTTTCTAAGGTGCCATTTTTGATAGTAAGTTTTGTTGTACAGCAAAATAGACTGTTCTAGCATAAAAGAAGAATTAAAGAAAGAATTTAACAATTTAGAAGAGGCTCCGACTAAGAAGACAACCTTCTTTGGTGGCAATTCTGTATCTATGATTACCTCGTCTGGTTTTATTTATTTATTTATTTATTTTTCCAGTACGGGGAATTGAACTCACGACCTTGCGCTTGCCGGGCAGGCACTGCCTCTGAGCTAAATCCCCAGCCCCATGGCCCTGGTTTTAGTGGCTGAAATTGCTGGAGCTAAATGAGTGTGCAGCCCCAACTTTAAAATTTAAATTCTGGAAGGCAGTCATGAGGGAAGATTCCTCAATCAGAACCCTCCTCACTGATGTGAAGACCTATCACAATTTTATAAGATGTGCAGGCTACCTCTCAGGAGGCTGAGGCAGGAAGATTGCTGCAAGTTCAAGGCCAGCCTGGGCTCCATAGACAGTTCCAGACCAGGCAGGACTACAACTACATAGTGAGACCCTATCTCGAAACAAAACAAAACAAAAAGATTTTACTTACAGACAGCCCTTAGGCTTATGACTGTGGGCCTTGAGGAGGCAGCATCAGCAGTGAAGCTCTGACACTTCCTGTCACTGATGTAAAAAATAACATGCTTTCGCCAAGAAAAAAAAAAAAAAAAGAATACCAGCAAAGGGAACCACTTAGGTAAATAATAAGTGCCAGTATTGTATTTTTGGTTTGTAACTTTTTTCTGTAATCTTTAAAAACCAAGTACAGCCAGGTGTGATGGCGTATGACTATAATCCCAGCACTTGGGAGGCTGAGGCAGGAAGTGTGCCACAAGTTCAAGGCTGGCCAGGGCTACAAAGGGAGTTCACAGCCAGCCTGGATTGCATAGTTGGACCCTGTCTCAAAGAAACATAACAAACAAATTAAAAAAAAAACAAAACACAAGTATATAAAGCTGAAGAATAAACAGTCTTTTCAACACATGTTGCTTGGACAATTGACATCTCTATGCAAAGGAATGAAATTTGACCTTATCTCACATCATCTACAGTGGACCTCTGAAATTTGCAGAGGTTGTGTTCATTTATCAACTGCAAATTGTGAAAAATCACAGATTTCATACATGGTCAGAAAAATGCCAATAAATGCCTATTTTTATAGTTTAAACCCTAAATATGTTATCTCTCGCACAGTTACGTAATTTAATAAAATACTGTATTAATAAAGCCTTAGGAGGTGCAGCTGGGAATATAGCTCAGTGTCACAGTGCCTGACTGGCAAGCGCAAGGCCCTGAGTTTGATTCCTGGTAAACCGCCCCTCCCCACCAAAAGAAGAAGGTGCAGGGCATTTTGAAGACATTTTAGGGAGCTTAGGGCTTTAAGAAGAATAAAACCGAGAACGGAGCCCTCCAGATAACCACATGTGGTACAGCCACCTGTTGCAATGCGGGAATGTTGGTGCATCTGCTGAAGATGGGTTGCAGGGTAGCAGCCAATCAGCCTCACAGAGTACTTACTGCTCTCAGATTGGCTGCTTGCAAACCTGGTGCCAAAAAAATATTGCAGAGGCTATTTGCGGTTTCTGGAAAATTGCAGGGCCTCCCATGAACAATTAAAGAAAAATCTGTGAATGACCAAGGCTGCAAACTCAGAACCACAACTTCGCAGGGGTATAATGTACAAAAATTAACTCAAAATAGATAAAAGACTTATATTTAAGAGGTAAAACTGTGAAATTTAACATAGGGTAAATCTTCATTACTTTTGAATTGGCGGTGATTTCTAAAATATGTGACCACATAAGTCAAAAATGGAAAACTATATTGGACTTAAAACTTTTTCAGGGCTGGGGATTTAGCTTAGCGGCACACCACCTGCCTGGCAAGCGCAAGGTCGTGAGTTTGATTCCTGGTACCAGAAAAAAAAAAACCTAGAAAAAAAAATAAACTTTTTCATATCAAAACACCAAGTGAGAAAACAACTCACAGACTAAAAATCATGTGTCTCATAAGGGTTGACAGAGTATGTAAAAAAATTTGACAGCTCAGCCACAAAAAGAACACAACTGAAAAATGGGCAGAAGTCTTGGATATGTATTTCCAAACAATGGCCAACAGTGTATGAAAAAATGCTTATCATTATTGGTCATTAGGGGAATGTAAATCAAAACCTCAACGAGATATAACTTCATTCACACCAGGATGCTTGCAGCCACAAAATGGACAAAATCAAGACTTGGCAAGGATAATGAGAAGGGCTCATGTATTGCTGTTGGGAATGTAAAATGATATGGCCACAGTAGAAATCAGTTTGCTAGTCTTTCCAAAAGTAAAACATATATAACTATATGTTCCAATATAATTCACTCTTAGCAGTTCCACTCCCAGGTATATACCTGGGAGAATAAAAAAATTTGTTCACTGAGACTTGTACGTGCATTGCATAGCATCATCATTTTAATAGCACAAAAGCAGAACCACCGTAGATGTCCACCAGTGGGTGAGTGAATCAGCAGTATGTGGTATATGAAAATACTTTTCAGCTCTGACTAGGAGTGAAGTACTGCAACGTGGTACAACAGGAATGAGCCTAGAAAATATTGCCCTCTGCGATAGAAGCCAGACAAAACATCTTCCATGTTTCCATTTGTCGAAAACACCCAGAAACTGAGTCCAAGGAGAAAGAAATAGATTAGCTGGGCTCAGGAATGGGAATTAAAGTGAAAACATGTACAGGGTATCTCAGAAATGGTAGAAGAAAGTGTCCTGCAACTAGTTGTATGACTTGATTGTTTACTGAAAAGTCAGTACATATAGTTTTATGGTAGATGAATTATTCATCAATAAAGTATAACCACAAAATTTGGCTAAAAATGGTGACTGATAGCCCGGCCCAGTGGTGCATACCCATAATCCAAAGTGACCGATAAAGCAGTTTTGATTGACTTTGAGTACTATGTTGAAGTTAACCTTGGCCTCTCTGAGGTTGCCCTTTGCAGCCAGGAGCACTGACTGTTGGCTGTCTGTTCTTTTTGGGGCCAGGTGCTGATATTTCTAATGTGTGCAATGAAGCCGCATTGATTGCAGCCCGCCACCTGAGTCCTTCCGTTCAGGAGAAGCACTTCGAGCAAGCCATTGCGAGGGTCATTGGAGGTGAGCCAGGGAGCAGGGATGTACCCGGCCTGCCCTGCTCAGCCCCAGCCTCACTCTGCATGTGGAAATGTGAGGAAGTCCAGCAGCTCTTGTGCTTCTTAGGGAAGGCCTGGGGTGGCAGCAGAGCGCTTCCCTGAAAGGTTGGGTTTGAGAGGGGTGCCTGGAGTTGTGGTTTTTCCTGGGAGCTGCCCAGTGTTGTGCAGGGACCACCCCGACTCCTGCTGCTTGGGATTGAAACCAGGGCACTCTACCAATGAGCTACAGGCCTAGCCCCTTTTATTTTATTTTTTATTTTGAGGCAAGTTTCACTAAGTTACCCAGGCTGAGTTTGAACTTGCAATCCCTCTGCCTCAGTCTCCCTGAGTGCTGGGATTAAAGATGTGTCCCTCCATACCTGGTAAATACATTTTCTTCAGCTGAAGGGATAGCTGCGCTGGTTTCTTGTCTTTAGCCAGTGTACTGGGAAGGGGGCGAGTCACACACCCTCCTATAGCTCAAGCACCTCAGCAACAGTTAGGTCTCTGGGGCTGCTGGGCTGATCCGTCCTCCCTGCAGTCTTCCTGAAGGTAGGCGGCAGTAGCATCCACCCCCGACACAGAGCTGAAGGCAACCAGTGGAAGAGTATCCTTGAGCACCATCTGTGTGCAGTGTAACATAGCTGGGCTTTATGGTATATGCCTGTAACCACTGTGAGTTTGAGGCCTGCCAGAACTACATAGTGAGACGCTGTCTCAAAAGACAAAAACAAAATATAAAAAAGCCCCAAGTATAATGTGTGTACAAGGAGGCTTTGTGCAGTAATACTAGGCTGTGCTAACCAGGAAACACCAGCACATCTCAAGACCATTCTGGGGACTCTGCTGAGCTGACTGTCCCTGTAGCAGTGGGTAGGAGCAATGTGACATGTGCCATTGTTGCTTTGTCCTTGTCTCATGCCTGTTGCCCATTGGGCTTTTAGGATGGTGGAAATCGTCCCTTGTTCATCCATGTGTGTGTCTGTCTTTTTGTTCCACTGCAGTTGACTTGTGACCACCCCCTAAGCGGTGTGGTTCGAGCAGCAAGGACAGCTGGGACGGGGAGTGGAGTGTGACGCAGACAGGCTCCTCTGTGGAGGGCTGGGTGGTGGGCCTTCCTCCCTGGCCCTCGCTCACAGGAAATGTGATTTGTAGGCCTTGAGAAGAAGACCCAGGTCTTGCAGCCCAGTGAAAAGATGACTGTGGCCTACCATGAGGCTGGGCATGCGGTGGTGGGCTGGTTCCTGGAGCACGCAGACCCCCTGCTGAAGGTCAGTCACCACGACTGTCTGAGGCAAAGTAGTCTTGAGACATGATGGACCTGGCTGTGTGGCTGTCTGGGTGTCCGCCCACATGACACAGTACTCACAAACATCACCTTTACTTTCTGAGGAGTATGGTGGGTTAGAGTTTGCCCATGATTAATTACTTGGGGCTGGGAGGCAGAACAGGGCTGTTGGCTATAGATCCTTAGCCATGGACTCTGTAGAGAAACTTTTTTTTTTGTCTTTTTTGAGACAGGGTCTCACTATGCAGTTCAGGCTGGCCTCGAGCTCACTTTGTAGCCCAGGCTGGTCTTGAACTCACAACGATCCTCCTGCCTCAGTCTCCCAAGTGCTGGGATTACAAGCATGAGCCACCACACCTGGCTTCCATAGAGAAACTTTGATCTTAAGCTCGCTTGGCTCCTAAGCTTGGGATCTTTCAGTGCCTCCAGAATCTTCATGGCTGCAGGACCAACCTAGGTGGTCTCCATAGTAACAGCCCCCAGGGTTGCTCTCTAGGGAAGCCCCACTGGATGGTGTGGGGCTTGGATCAGGCCTCTCCTCCCTATCCATGTGGGTCTAGGCAGCACCTGTGAGGACTGTGTGGAGACAGACTAGGGCCCCATCCTGTCTTGCAGGTGTCCATCATCCCGCGGGGCAAGGGGCTTGGCTACGCCCAGTATCTGCCCCGGGAACAGTACCTCTACACGCGAGAGCAGCTCTTCGACCGCATGTGCATGATGCTGGGAGGCCGGGTGGCTGAGCAGCTGTTCTTTGGGCGAATTACCACGGGGGCGCAGGATGACCTAAGGAAAGTCACACAGAGTGCCTACGCGCAGGTAAGAGGTAGGTGTCCTGGCACAGCCCCATAGCCTGTGGGTATGGCTCACCCTGGGCTCCTGTGTTTCCAGATTGTACAGTTTGGGATGAGTGAGAGGCTGGGCCAGGTGTCCTTTGACCTCCCACAAAGAGGTGAGGCTCTGGTGGAGAAGCCCTATAGCGAGGCCACTGCCCAGCTCATTGATGAGGAGGTTCGGCACCTCATCGGCTCTGCCTATGATCGCACGCTAGAACTGCTGACTCAGTGCCAGGAGCAGGTGGAAAAGGTAAGTGGGGCCAGCGGCAATGCTAGGGCAGCTGGGGGTGAGGGCTGCATTGTTCAGGAGCCTGACAGGTGGTGTTGTTCCAGGTGGGCCGGCGGCTTCTCGAGAAGGAGGTGCTAGAGAAGGCTGACATGGTCGAGCTGCTGGGCCCACGGCCCTTCGTGGAGAAGTCCACTTATGAGGAGTTTGTGGAGGGCACTGGCGGCCTGGAGGAGGACACATCCCTTCCTGAGGGGCTGAAGGACTGGAACCGGGGATAGGAGGAGGGGGGCACTGAGCAGCACTTGCAGGGGAGCCCCACGTAGCACTGCTGTGGTCCGATCCTCTGAGAGCATCTGTCAGAACCACCAGAAAGCACATTAAACCAGTGACAACCACAAACAGGCGTATTGAGGACCCACGAGGGGAGCTGGGGCTTGGCAGCAGCCAGGCAGGAGGCTCTAGGGGTACAGGGGAGTGACAGATGGCTAAGGGAGGGCGTATTTCTCCAGAGACCCCTGGGTGTGGTGCCAGCCAGGGCTCTGTACCCTCAAGATCCTCACACTGGCCTTTTGGTTGAGGCAAGACTCAGTTTCTTGGTGACGCTGGATGTCCTAAAGTGACTCATGAGAGGGTCTTGGCTCAGCATGGATGCCCTCAAGGGTTAGTGAGGGAGACCCAGGGAGAACGTGAGCCTGTGAAGGGATCTGTGTTAACAAAGGTTGGGTGTTAATCAGTTGGGACTGCAGGGAAGAGGTTCAGTACTCAGGAAGGAAACCCAGAGCCATTAAGAAGTATGGCTAAGGGAGGGTGGTGAAACTTGAGGTGCACCTGGGCCTGGGGCAGGCTGCCTGCCTGAGTACCTGGTCTTTTAGTAGGTGAGCACTCCCCTACCCCCCATGTTTCCCAGTGAGCCTCCTTACCCCCCAGAGCGATGGTCTCCTTGCCCGGGCTGGCCCTCAGATCTCTGTAGGGCCACTTGGCCCTGGCCTCATGTTCACTCTTCATTTCCATAGGTTGTGATCTGAATGCCTTTTTAATGCCATGGGCTGAAAGGTCCTTTTCCTCGTCTGGGTACAGTGAATTCTGTGAATGCCATAGGCTTCGGTGAAGGTCTCCCTGTGCATCCTGCCAGTGCACAAGATGCAGAGCTGTGAGCCATCACCACTGACCCCCAGCACCTCTGTGTGCTCGTGACCTTAGAAATAGAGGTCCAGCTGGGGATGAGCACTTTCAACTCTTGTTTGTAAAATGTATGTTATTGAACATTTAAATCTTCAGGGCTTAGCCTCCACCAAACCCAGATTAGCAGAGCCAAGTGGCTGTGCTATGTGGTCCCTGTGATGGAGGTGGGTTTCTCCGCTGGGATGTCACAGCACTGTGGCAGCACCTCCAGGCTGGTATTGTCAGATCAAATGGCTGTGGCTGGGTGGGTTGGACAATGGCTGACCTTGTGGTTGGTTCCCACCAAAGCTGCTGGAGAGCCAGGATAACTGTCCCTGAGGCTAGAATGCTGAGGGCTGTGGTCACTCCCAACATTCTATGCTGACCCCGGCCCTTTGGGCTGACCCTCCCTGCAGGCCTCCCTATCCTTACCATGTTGGGTCCAGCCGCCCCAACATCCATCCTTCACCACTGCTCGTTGACAAGCTGCATAGTCCGATGCCAGGGTTCACCTCACTGCTACCCCTCATATGCCTGTTGGGGACAGGCACTACGCTGTGGTGCCCCAACCATGGTGCCTGGGGTAGGTGGGGGCAGGTGCCCTTGTCCTGTTTAGAACTGGGGTAGGTCAGCCTGTGCCCACCCCACCTCCCTTTCCCTGGGAGTAGGATTTGCAGTGTGCTGGGAACTGTGGCCCCTTCCTGGGAAATGCACAGGACAGCCTTGGATTCTGACCACCTGAGACCTCTGCTGCCCCCACCTCAGCTCCTGAGTGATCCAAGTAGGCAGGTCTGGCTCCCCAGCAACATAGCTGTGTGGGGAAAGAGGGCTCTGGGACACCTGCGTGGGGCAGGAGCATCACCAAAATGACACCCAAGTGAGCACAGCCTGGCACACAGTACAGCAGAGCCCCAGGGGCATCAGGCAGAGGAGGACCCAAGGGCCCAGGATACTCCACACTCCTGTAGGCCTTGTGTGTGTCCTGATGTCAGCTAGAGAAGAGGTGGCCATGCTGGGTGTGATGATGCCCACATGTCATTTTAGCATTCTGGGATGCTGAGGCAGGAGGAGCACAGGTTGGAGTCTGGCCTGGCCAACATATTGTGACTCTGCCTCAATAATAATAAAACGGCTGGGGTGTAGCTCAGTGCAAAGGCTTTGGGTTCAATCCCCAGGGCCAAAAAAGAAAAAAACCAAATCACAGGAGGCTTTCAGATGGTGGTGAAGCTTTAATCCCACTCTGAACACGCGCTATGGAAGCTACAGCAGGAAGGCAAGGGGGAGGTGTGGGGCTCACGCTGCAGAGGTTGGGCAGTTGTGTGTCTGTTGGGAACCAGGGACAGTGTTCACTGGGAGACCTGGTTTGTGAGAAGCCCCAAGCAGAGGGGAGCTCGGGTGGGGGACCCTGCCGCCCTAGTCTCCAGGAGCATCTGATGGGAGTGAAGTTGAGCCTGCTGCCTTCCTCAGAAGCATCAGCAGGGACAGGAGGGTAGGTCGGTTTGGGGATGGAAAGCAAGTTTGAAGTTTCACTTCAAAACTAGCCTTGGAATCATAGTCCTAACACCTGTCTATTTGCAGTGAACATCCGTCCTACCAGAGAGCAGTAGGCTTGGCCCTACCAGACATACCCAGAGCCAGGCCACCTCCTGTGTGTGACTGACAGGCATGGGACATGGGGGACAGGTGGTGGGAGAGGGTGAGCCCTGTCCCAGCAGTCTCAGCTCTGAGGCAGTTGGCCGTATTTGGTGTTTCAAGGTGGGGAGATACACCAGGCCCTCATCCCATGGCTGTCATGTGGAGACCCAGAGGGAAGACACAGGTCTTGGAGTGGGCTGGGGAGGGGGCTCTGGTACCAGCAGTGCCTCCCTGGGGCAGAAGGATAGGCAAGATGGAGAGCGTGGTGGAGGTCTGTGCCCCGGCCCCATGCGTGGTTGGACGGTGGAGCACCCCGTGGGCTACGCCAGGCCCACTCTAGCTTCCGAGCCTAGTGGCATAGGACCTGTGGGGATTGGGGGCCATTGTGAGCACTGGTCCTGTGGACAGAAGGTTCCAGAAGGCCCAGGCTGTGCTTGCTTCATCCTGAGCAGTAACATCATGGCCATGTCGTCCCTGTCCAGGCAAGGGCAGCAGCTGGAGGTAAGGCCGCTGGGCTGTGCTTGTGCTGGGTGCCCAGAGGCCTGTGGCTGGCAGCCCTTCCCTGGCTGCTGTTAGGAGGTGACGGCTGGAGCCTCATGGGGAGGGTGGAGAGTGTTGCCAGGCCAGGACTGTTTGCACTTGCCGTCATGAGGGTGGGTGGCCCAGCAGGTGGAGACAGCTTAGTCCTCCTTGGGCCCCTCCACAGTGAGAATTGTGTCCACAATCGCAGGCTGCCTCTCATGGTCTCCAAGGGGCTGCTTCTCGCGGTTCTGCTCAGCCCTGGTCCTCGTCCAGGAGGGAGAGCGCAGGCAGCCCGCCCGGGGCAGCGGGTGCAGACCTGGCAAGGACAGGACGTGGACTCAGTGGGCCCTGGTTGCCTTTAACACAAGGTCTGCCTTGCACACTGACATGCATATGTGGGAGGCAGGTCTTGACCCCAGAGGCCCTGCTCCCTCAGCCATGGTTTGCCAGCTCTGCCCCTTTGTGACCCAGTGCCGGATGGGATCTTGCCAGCCTCACCTGTACCACCATGACCCTTCAGTCCCTCTGTGGGTGAGGCTGTGAGGGGCTGGGATGGGTGGGTGTTGCATCTAAGCCCCTGGCTAGCCACAGGCCAGTCTGGCCCTGTGCACATCTGTGGGCTCACAGCAGTGCAGAGGTGGGAAGGGGACTCATCCCGCATGTGGCTCAGCCAGGGTCCCCAAGGATGTGTGGGCTGCCCCGCCTCCTTCCAGGGAGCAGGTTATAGCAGGCCCACTGCCAGGTCCTCTGTGGGGAAGGTCCTCTAGTGAGGCCCCAGCATGCGTTGGGTGGGCACTGACCTGGGCCATGCAGGTTCTGGCCTGGTCGGGGGGCTGGGGGAAGTAGAGGCTGGGCTACCAGATTGTGGGGTGGGAATTGGTTCTTTTGCTCACCCACCTGCTAGCCTGCAGAGGGCAACTGAAGTCCTTCACTGTTGGAGACAGACTGAAAGACACTACTGTCACTCTGCTCACAGGGCTTAGGAGAGACAGGAAACAACAGCAGGCCTCATCCATGGGGCCTGCTGGTGTCCGGGGCAGAGAGGCAGGGAAGCTGGGCCACCCTGCACACATCCCACTGCCTAGGAACCTGAGCCAGATACCACACTGCTTTCAGAACCAGAAGTGAAATCAAGTCAGGGAGTTGAGGAGGGGCCCACTTTGGCAAATGTGCCTCACCCCACTTTTGTGCTTGGCACGAGTCATAGTTAAAATTCACATTTAACACATTCTACTTTCAAGAAAATAGCTTTGGCCTCCTCTTGCTCTTTTGAAAAGTAAAATTAAGTAGAGGTAGTTGTGAAGGAGAGAGATCCCTTCATGCTGGGCAGATAGGATCATGAAATGATGTGTTTGTTAAGATGAGCCTCAGTGAGATGAAGTTGTTTCCTTTTCATTTTTTTCGTTTTCTTTGAGCCCAGATTGGCCTCAAACTTGCAGTGATTCTCCAGCCTCGGCTTCCTGAGTGCTGGGATTACAGATGAGCACCACCACGCCTGGCAAGGAAGTTGCTTTCAAAAGTAGGGTTTTGGGGAGCCTGGCCCCCCACCCAGCACCTCCCTGCTACATTGCCAGACTTACCTGCTGGGGAGTCACTGGTCACGTTCTCATCATCCGAGTCGGCAAAGACCTCGGCCAGCTCCTGGTCGGACATGTCAGTGAGCTCAGTGAGGTCCAGGAGGTCGAAGTGGACCTCCAAAGAGGAGACACTGCTCAGGGGCTCTGGGAAAGGGCGCAAGAAGCATAGTCACCCCACAGTCCACCTGAAGCATGGACATTTGCACTGCTCCCTACAGCCCTTGGGGAGGTGTCCCAGGCTGTGAGGGGCCAGTCTGGCCTCAGGTGTGTCCTGCACACTTGAGCCTGGGCATGTTCCAGCTCTTGGTCTTACTGTGGCTCAACCGAGGCCCAGCCCTATCCCTGTGCTGCAGTACTGCCCCCATACCTTGTGCCTCAGTTCCTGTGGAATCCGGATCCCTGTGGAATGCTAGGCAGATCACAATACTTACGCCTCCTCTCTGTGACCTGCAGGAGACCTGGTGCTGGGATCGGGATGCCTGCCTCCTCCTCAGCCACAGGTGAATGGCCACTGTCCCCCGTCCCATGGGCTGGGACACCCAGGGCAGCCTGTGGGACCTCGACCTCCTTAACGATCCCTGCAAGCAAGACACAGCATCACCTCAAGACTTATGGAGATCCCACAGGCCCTAGGGTCTAGATCTAGGGAGCACAAGAGGACCACACCACCAGGGGGTTCTGTCTGCCTGGGCACAAGTGGGGACATGCAGCGCATGTGGTCCTGCAGGCTCTCCTGCTCCTTTTCTGGGGACTGACTTGTCCCATTCCAAATGCTGTGTCTGGGTTGAGAATGAAAGAGAGTTGCACAACAGGATGGGCAGCAGCCACCTGCAGTCCTTGCATCTCTCTGCCACTGGCCCCACTGTACCATGGGGTGAGTGTTCTTTCAGGTTGTTTCTATGCAGATTTTGTGGGTGGGTAAAAAAGGCAATTGCTTGTTTTTTTGGGGGGTGGTGATGGTGGTTTGTTTTTTGAGACAGGATCTCACTATGTAGTCCATGCTGTCCTCAGACTCACAGCAATCTTCCTGCCTCAGCCTCCTGGTCATTGGGATTACAGGTGTGCACCACCATGCCCAGCCTAATAAGGCATTTTTAAAAATATTTTTTCTCTATCTGGCAGGAGCAGAGGCCTTCCCAGGCCCTGCTTGGGTGAAAGCACTTGCTGTGCCTTCTGGGTACTTCAGTAAACATCTCGGGGTTACTCGGGACTGTGCCTCCCAACTTGCAAATCCTGGGTCTCCTTCAGGTGCTCCAGAGCCCTCCTCAGCACTCTCCTGTGTTCTCTGCTACATAGGACCAGCACAGCCTCTGTATCTCCTGACAGCCAGAGGACGGTGAGACAATGCGCGAGGGCCTGGGCCCACAGGCGCCACCGCCTGTCCTGGCTCCTTCCCAGGCCTCCGCCTTCCTTGTTGCACCCAGTCCCTACATGGGGGGGGGGGGGTTCCCCTGCCCCTAAACCTAACCCTCTGGGGTGCATGAGGGCGCAGCTACTTTAGGCAGCCCTGGCTGGTGAATGTGAGCCAACAGGAAGAGCAGCTGCCACCTGGGGGAAGCCGAGGGGCCCAGCCTAGCTCCTGTCCTCCCTGCTGATGCGGGGTGGTGTGGGTGCCACCAGGTGGGACACAGGTCTAGTGTCCCTGCTCATCCCCCACACCCCAACAAAAGATGCTCAGAGGTGGTGCCATGGCCTCCTGAGGGCTCCTACCCACCTTGGGGCTTCCCCTGTGGGAGGAAGAGCAGGAGGTGGGTGAAGGCAGGGGCTACATTCCCCCTGCCCAGTTAGCCTGGGTCCTGAGTGTGGTCACTGCAGCCTGCCTCAGGCCTGGGTGCACAGGTGATCTGGCCTCTACCTCTCCCCTGGCAGCAGGAGTGTGGTCAGTGTCCTTGAAAGGTACAGTTCCAGTTGTCAGTGTCTCCCCAACCCCCAGGCCCAGCAGGGCCACCAACTCCCAGGGCTATGTGGTGGTCATAGGTATGTGACTCGAACCTTTCTCTGAGCTGGGAGGTGGGACCTTCTTCCATAGTTGACAGAGGACAAAGGCCTCTGTACAGAGGGGACATAGCCCAGGAGTGTCCAGGTGCCCAAGGGTTTGATTCATGTCCTGCAGGCCTGTGCCAGGGTAACAAGTCTGAAATGCTTCCCACAGCTTAGAGCTGGCTGTGTGAGTTGGCCAGACTGGGCAGCTCAAAAAGGTGCCGCTATCTGTCTGCCCTGAGGGAGAGACAGGTGGGTAGACTGAGGCCTGGGGGGTAGACTGAGGCATGGGGGGTCAGTGACTTCTTTGCCCCAGAGTGGAGGCTCCTGGCTGGCCTTCAGCGCCACACTACCCTGCACCTCCTCCTCCTAGAGGCCTCCTGAAACTAAGGACCCCTGGGCAAAGGCGGTTCTGCAGGCTGTCCTATGTGGAACTGCCCTATCCTGGGAAGGTGATGGAGGAGAGTGGCTCGGGGTTCTCTGTGCTGTGTGCTGGGCAGTGTAGTGTCCCACACTGTCTCCTGGCATCCCTCAGAACAGCTACAAGGGAGGGCACAAACAGAGGTGGGAGTTAGGGCTGCACCTGTGGAGGCAGCAGCACGGGTCCAGCCTCTGAATGAAGGTTAGACAGAACTGGGCTCTCTTTACAGCTGCCTTTCCATTGGGTGGGGCACCCATCCCTTCAAACTTCTGAGTACGCACACTGTTCTGGACACAAGATAATAACAAAATAGAGGATGCCTGCCCTCGAGAGGGGCAAGCAGCCTGGAGCAGCAGGCCTGCTGCCTGCTTTAGGGAAGGTCCAGAAGGCCCTTGACAGGTGCCAAGAAACCCGAGGTGGGTGGCAGCTGAGCAGTCCCTGGGGCAGGCCTGGTGTCCACTGTGCATGCAGAGGTCCAAAGAGGAGTGTAGCTCAAATCCAGAGCACACCCTGGCCATGAGGCAGGGCCGGGAGGTGGGGTGAGGATGGGCAAGGGCAGTAGACTCAGTGGGGAGTGCAGACCGTGTGGGCGTTCTCAGGACTTGGGTTTCTATTCTGAGCAAGGCGGGAGAAGCTGTGAAGGCACAGCACCCTCCTCTATCCCTTTCATGGTGCAGCCAGGGAGGAGGAAGTCCAGGAGGGAAAGAAGTCTGCTGCTGTCAGCTGGGCCCTTCTGTGCTGATACAGGACCCCCACACTGGACTTCAGCCAAAGACAAGCTCCATCCACCTCTTGTACTGGGGAGGGACTGGGAGTACAGGCGTTCCTCATTAGGACCTTGGCATCACATGGGGCCTTAGTCCACCTTGGGAGAAACCTCTAGCCCCCAGGCACCATGGCTCTAGATGACTCTTAAGAAGCACCTCTCCCCATTTAGCAGTGGATGGGGTAATAGAGTAGGCATGATGTGTACCCTGGAACTTTAGTTTTTTATAAAATTTGCTGTGCTGGGGCTGGAACCCAAGGCCTTGTGTACATTAGGCAAGCACTCTGACCCTAACCCTAATTCCTAGCCCCTGAACTTCTGAAGTCACCCTATATCCAGTTTTGATTTCTTTCATCTCCCTTTACCTGTAAACTAGTCTTTATTCTGTAAACCCTGGTACCCTGGGCTGTGCCAAAACTATGATGGAGGAAAATGCAGAAGATACATTTTTTGCCATCAAGAACATGACTCTTGCCGGGTGTAGTGGCGCATGTCTGTAATCCCAATACTCAGGAGACTGAGGCAGGAGGATCGTTGTGAGTTTGAGGCCAGCCTGGGCTACAAAGTGAGCACAAGACCAGCCTGAACTGCATATTGAGACCCTGTCTCAAAAAGACAAAAAAGAATATGACTCTTGGTTGGAAGAATGATGGAAACAGGAGACTGAAATGAAAATGCCAAGAACAAATGAGGGGTGAGCCCCAAGTAGGGACAAGGGTGGTCTCAACAGAGAAAGTGGTGTAGCCCTGTGGGAACTGCAGCTCCACTCCTAGGTTCAAAGAACACCATCAGTGGGTAAATGGAGACCCCAAGTATGGGCTCTTCACATGATGAAATAGTATGCGGCAATGTAAAGGAATGTGTCAGGCTTTGAAAACAGCACAAGGAATGCAAGACACAAGGGTCTAGAAGAGGCAAATCCATGGGAAGTAGATCACTGATTGCCAGGGATGTGGAATGGGTACAGATTTTTTAGGAAGTGATAGAAGTATTTTAATAGTAGATAGTGGTGATGACTGTACAACTGTTTGGATACAATAAAAACACTGAATTATATGCTTTAAAAGGATGATTTGCCAGGCCTGGTGGCATACGCCTGTAATCCCAGCACTTGGGAGGTGGAGGCAGGAGGATCGTTGTGAGTTCGAGACCAGCTCCAAAGTGAGCTCAAAGCCAGCCTGAACTGCATAATGAGATTCTGTCTCAAAAAGACAAAAAAAAAAAAAAAAAAAGGTTTAGGGTATGTGAATTACATCTCAATTACAAAATTAGCTGACCATGGTGGTGTACTCCTGTAGCCTCAGCATTCAGGAGGCAGAGGCAGGAGGATTACCATAAACTGGGGCCATCCTGGGTTACACAGGAGTTCCAGACCAGACTGAACTAAAACAAAAAATTTAAAAGTTTGGTAAATGAAAGGGTGAATGAATGATCTCAAGACTGTAAGTGGCTGTGCTGAGAATCACCCATGTCCTTTTATACCCTCTCACCAAGCTCTTTTAGGAAGGAACAGATTCTGCTGGACAGGACCCATTGTTCCCCTGGGCTAGTGGCACAGCTGTCTGACACCAGGCACAGGTGGGGTGTCGCAGCCTGGCTGAGCCACAGCAATGGACTCGGAGACCCTGGAGAGGCTGGCGAGGTCAGGGATGTGTGTGTTCGAAGCCCGGGGAAGAGCCAGGTGTGGCTGCAGCACTGTCCCCGCTTCTGCCCCAGTACCACCCGTCGAGGAGCCTTGAGGCCCCTCCCCCCGCAGGGCTGCCACCACATGACCTGCAGTTTGGGGCCGAAGCCCTGCCCCTCCAGGTCCCCAAATGCCCAGTGCTGATACCTAGGTTCCTTTGATGGCCTACTTTCCAACACATTTGTGACTGGAAAACTCGGCCCAAATCTTCCCTGCTGGGCTCCTGGGGCTCTGCCACTCTGCTCATATCACTAAACAAATGGATTAATGAAATGAATTAATGATGTAAATCAAAATGGCTGTGGGGGGAGAGATGGTTACAGAGGTAGGGGCCCCCTGTGTCCCAACTCCTCAGCACCCTGTCCCTGGATCCAGACCCTCTCTAGGGTGCTGTGGAGGAGGGGCCAACATCTGGTCTCAGCCTCTTCGGTCTCCCCTTGTCTCAAGAAACTAAGGACAGACTTCAAGGCCAGGCTGTATTTCACACCTCTGTGGACTGCACACTGTGATATTTTTTGTTTGTTTTGAGACAGGTCTCACTGTGTAGTGCAGGCTAGCCTTGAACTCATGGCAATCCTCCTGCCTCAGCTTCTCAAGTGCTAAGATTACAGGCATGTGCCACCATGCCCAGGTTGCACACTCTGATATTAAGAATTGCTGTTCATTCATTTAGGTACAAAGGTGCTGTTTTAGGGCCCGGGGATCATAGCTCAATTGCACAGTACTT